GCCATCCCCGGAGGGGGCGGGGCCAATGGTGCCGGTATCCCGGGGGGCTTCCGAGATGGGCGTGGCTTAGCGAATAGGGGCGGTCCTCCAAGCGTAGGCTGAGAAGGGAAAACGGAAAACACCACCCGAGCCGCGGAGGGGGCGTGGCCTAGAGCTGGGGTTTTATTCACCGACTGCCAGGGAGGTGGAGCCACTGCAAGCGGCGGGAAAACTGGACGGGCGTTGTAGCTGATGGGACAGGAGGGCGAGGAACTGGGGACCGATGGGAGAGGCGGGGAATGGCCACTCTTGCTCATGAACGTCCTGGATTCCACTTTCTTTCGCTCAGCACTCCCCGGGCATATTCCTTTCTTCCGTTCCCCCCACTGCTCACCCTAGTATTGAACTTTCTGATTTTTTTCTGCCAACCTTCACCAAATGCGACTCTGCCCATCGCCGAGTGGATGCTGAGGACACAACAGCTGGTTCCGATCTCATCTCCTCTGGGAAACCTAGAGACACCTTTCCAAACCTCCTTTCCCCTGGTCGGGTCTCGTCTAGAACTTTCCAACAGTGTCCGGGGCACCGCTGTTCTGCTCATAACCCTTCTTGTCACAAGGCTGCCATTATCTAGTGACAGGGCTTTCTCTCCCGTTAGACTGTGAAGCCCCGAAGAACCTGGCACCGTGCTGGGCACAGTGGACACTCAGTAGATGCTTGTTGAATGGACGCTGACCCGGGAAGGTGTTCTTGGAGGAGGAAGTGAATTCCCCTTTCTGTCCGCTTAGCCCCTCACTGCCCTTCCTCTTCTATTTTAGGGAACTTTTCCTGAGCCATTTCTGGCTAGCTGACCTGATCTCCCTCTGACAGTCCTCCGCCCCAGCTCCCCTCCGATATTCCGACTTGAAGGTAGTTATCCTTGGGTTCTTTTTCACTTCCCTTTCTGCTTCTCAATTCCTTCTGCAGCGTCTGTAACTGCCCAGTTTGCCTCAACGTCCCCTTCTCTTTTCTTTTTCATTTTTTTTCAATTCAGTAAACGTACGCTCCTCGTGTGATGTGTAAGTACATAATACACAGGTCCGAAGTGATTTCGCCTTTTTCGGCAGCCGATTCTCCATCCCCGCATTGCCCAAGCCTTTCCCCCGCAGCCGTGCTCCGCAGGGCTGAACGCACACGTGCATAGTTTGTGTTTAGGACCAAAGGCGGGGGGCTCTCTGCTGGGTGAGGTCGCCGAGCTGCTTTGAGGACGGGATGTTTCAGGCTCTAGAGAAGCAGACCTCGCCGCCCAGGCTGAAAAGCTTTGCGCGGCGGCGACGCTCCCCAAATCGCCGCCCTTTCCTTTAAATCTGCAAACCTAGCGGCCTCGCCTAAAAGCGGCAAAAGACGGAGGAGG